AATCATTTTTTTCTGCAGAGAAAGAAATAAACTCACAGACATACTGCAGATGTTACAATATAAGATTTATTCTTTTCTTACACTTCTTATTTGAAGAGAAATATTCTCCTTCTAATGTGGTCATATAAGAGAAAGAATCACGAGATGAAATGCAGAATATATCGATAAATTTACATGCTGCAAACGAATCTAACACTAGTTTGGATATAATATTTAAGAGCAAGTTAGAATTTTGATCGGATTTTTAGAAAACCGCCACAAGAAGAATCACCTGGTCAAAGTCAAGGTCTGGCCTCTTTTGTGGTACTACTCGAGTAGTGTGTGGGAGAACAATATCTCCTCAGCTTGATCAACAACGAACTCTTAACAACATACGATAGACTGATAAATGCTCCCATATACTGATTTTCTACCAATTTAATAAATTCGTCCGGAGCTCCTTTGTGCATCAACGCTCTAACCACTGAGTCATACGACGCAGAATCAAATACCTTCGAGATATCCAACAGGCACACAAATAGATCGGATTTATGTGTGCGTCGTATGAGATGATGCAGCATCGCTGTGTTTTGTCCAGTTCCATTCAGTGGTTAAAAAGCATTTTTGCTGAGCATCTGTTTCAAAAACTTTGGACATTCTTTTGGCCAGGATTTTGTTGAAGAGACGAATTAATGTGGAAGCAATTGTTAGCGGACGCCAGTTCTTGATGTTATCTAACTGTGCCGTTCCTTTCGGTAATAAGTCTAGACGTTTCGATTAGTCTTTTGTCCCTTTACCAAAATTTGACGATCGATTTGCCCGTCAGCATCGCTACGAACTTCCATCAGGGTTTCCCCAGACTTCATGTTATTCAGATAAAGTGCATCATCTTTCGGGTCTCAGTGCATATACTCTTGCGAAGCTATTTACCAACGGATAATAGAACCTGCCAATAGTGCGTTCATACTCTAATAAAATAATACGGAATCATAGTTCGAACATTGTAAAATGTTCTTTACCTTCATTACGAAAAGGCTTTTCATGCAACCAAATTCTTGCACATACAGTGCACTTCTTAGACCGTGTTTCAGGACGGGTCGAATAACTCAACATTTGGTTTACGTGCTCCGTCGAAGGCCGATGGTGCAAAGCTATCATCCGAAGGATTCCAGCTGAACGCCTCTAAGTTGAAATGCTATCTAAACACGATGATGTTTTGGCATAATTTGTTTCTTGTGAGCAAATTTATATAAATTCAAACGGCTTGTATAGTGAATTTATGAATTATGCTATAGTTTGTTACATCATCTTAATCGAATGACATTTTAAGTGTAATAATTCAATTTAGCCGAAACAGAACAAATGTCTAGAATTGATTGTAAACGACTTTCTTCAGTAGTAGAGTATTGTAATTCGTGAAGCAGCCGCCACACTGCGACCGATTGAAATTCTGTTAGATGTTATGCTGATTCGATACGCTTCAAGCATATACGATATATGTACCTTGTAATATAGAATATGTAAATATTCAATTATGTTACTGGTGTAGCATCGTACAGAATTCTATTGCTAAAAATATCTGCTGTTAATTCTTTCGCTGTTAATTGTTAATTTCTTTGCTGTTAATTTCTTTCGGGACTCGATACTCCATCGGACTCGCTCATGCCTGCTTTCGACTGTACAAACGTTATCTGAATAAACTGTTAAATAAGACAAAAAGGGGCACTCATTATAAACTGAGGAAGGCTGGTCTTCTCAACGCTACTTGCCCAATGATTCTTTTTACCAGTGGATTGCTTCTTCACGTGACCAAATTCGATTCAACTAGGCCACGCTTAAAATTACCGTATTCGTGTTGATGATATGACATAGTCGTACTATGTTCTTGCACGTCCTGCTGCTGTTTACTTAGTGTTGAATGTTTAGTACCGTGAAGACTATTTCGACTGTGTTTTGAACCATGCGAATTACTCTCAAAAATTTCGTCCGTTTCATTGCCAGTATCTGAAAGATCATAGACATTAGTTATCTCTTCCATTTCAATATTTTCCACTGCAACTGAAGGTATATTATTCTCATGTAAAGCATTTCCACTTTGACAACCATCAGGATCCTGCTGCACATAAGCCGGTAGTGGAACATGACCGTTGTTATCATTGCCGAAGCTTGCCAACTTACCTGGATGTTTAGTATTCACTGAAAATGTTGTATTTGTCACAGTTCGATGTCCACGATCATTCTGATATCCGTTGCAAGATTTTATAGTATATGCATAAGAAGACAGCTGATGGCAACTATCGTGACCAAGCGGACGACACGTTTAACTGCGTTACAACCTCGCTTCAAGTGCTCATCTACTCTACAGCGAAAGCATGTTCTCTTACAACCTTTTAAATCGCCCATTACTCTAAAACCTTGAATACTGATAGATACCCGAACCGAATCAAATGCTTGCTACTTGAAGAGTCACATTACTCAAAGAACAATCACAGCACTAATATTCAAACTATGTTCAAGCCGCGTCCCGACCCGTTGGGGCAAAGCAGGACGTATACGTATGTACAAAGAAGTTTCACGAGGATGGTATACGACATATTATAGTATATGGGAAAGTTGCTAGTTTACCGCTTGACCATGATCTTCATGAAGTTTGTACAAAAAGCTTTCTTTCGTTGATCATAGATAATTCCACATGTACGCCTTAATTTTGCTAGCAATAATTTCGAATTATAAGATTCTTCCTTGGATATGACTTATTTGTTGTTCTTTCCTTTCAGTTGTGCAAACACATACAAGTGATTCATTGTCACAAAGCTGCATTTCGTTTCTGGTGACCGCTGTGCACTTATTGTCGTTCAATATACTTGCACTCTCTCCGAATAACAACAGCTTGAAACAAACGAGTTTCAATAAAAATACATAAATATATACGCACTTCAGAGCTTGAAGCTCTAAGTAAATTTCAAATGGCGTAAAAACTACTGTCCACTCTGCCTTTTCTTTTTAGTCACCCTCAATCTAGACCGTGATTCTTTGTTAAAGAACTTGACTAAACTCGTTGATCATACGTCCTGCTTTGTCCCAAATGTTTCGTTTTGCGCATTGGCCACTGAAAACGTCCAACTGTTTAACTCAAAATAGAAAAACGGCGTAAATCATGGGTTTTTCAGGAGAAAACGTGAAAACTTTGTCAGATTTAATTCAACTAAAAGGTACTTTACAACGGATCGGGACGCGGCTTGAAGATGGTTTTCTGATGATTTTCATTTCACATCTTCTCTACCCTCCATTATTAACTGAGAAACTTTGCTTCGTACTCGTCATAGTTTATATTTTTTTGTCCTGCAGTTCGCTTGAAGAGAACTTTCCAAGCTCGAATCATTTCTCTAACAAACTTTACATTAATTACTAAAGAATCTCAAGTACGTTTGAAATATGTGTGTCCCCCTGCATAAGCTTTTTGCAGATCTTCATCGCCGATTGTTGAAAGGCAGGGCGGATGAGTTTCGAATACATGTATTTTTGATCAAGCCTTTAAATAGTTTCCAAAAAACAATTTACAATTAATAGCTGATTCGAGAAATTACTCTGTGCACATTTTTTCACGCAATAAATCTACGGAGGCTTGTAACGATATTAGTTCGGAATCATTACTTTCCAATGTTTTTGAAAAAAGTTCGATTGCTTTGGGCATATAAACCAAAAAACCATCGGGCTTACCCTGTTGTAATTGATTAACTGCATAATTTTTATAAATAACAGCCAAATCTGGATGATCATCGTTAAGTGTCGTGCGATAAATTTCAAGTACATTTTCATAATAAATTGTTGCTTTTTCATATTTACCCTGTTGTTCATGCAATAAAGCCATATTATTATAAATTTTGCCTAAAACCGGATGTGTAAATGGTAGTAATTGTATTTTTTCTAATGCGGTTTTATAATAATCGAATGCAACTACATACTGTTTTGTTTCTCTATAGATTTCACCAATATTGTTATAGCCTGTAGCTAATGCTTCCAAATTACACGGCGACATATTCAATTCAATTTCAAGACTTTTTTCAAAATTTGTCAATGCTTGTTTATATTTATGTTGGCGTAAATAGATAGCACCAATATTATTTAATGAACTTGTAATTAAAGGATCATTCACTGATACGTGACTTTCCAATGCTTCGATTGATTGTTTAAAATATTCTAAAGCTTTTTCATATTCCATTCGACACTCAGAAATTTTTCCCAGACCATTATACACATGTGAACAAAGAGTATCACGTTCTATTGACTCTTCAAATCGACTATCATTCAGCAAAAGACAATAATATTCTTCAGCTTTAGTGTAATCACCCATTTGCCATGGCAATTCACCTAAACTCGCTAAACAAAATTTACTATTGATTTTTTTTTTAATATGATCAGTTAATTTTTTTAATTGCTCATCTTCAGTACTTGGTAATGTTAATTTAACATTCCATATTCTCGTATTTGATTGATCAATAGATTCTATTCGAAATATGTGAACAGTTCATAAATTATGTTGTGTTAGAACAATAAAAGTTGAAGTTAGTTAAAAATAATGTTGTAATTGATAAATTAACCCTGGAACACATTGTAAATAGAACTTTGTTTTCTGTAGGTAAAAAACTTAATTTTGAAATATCAGCAAATGGACAAGATTTTATATGACAATCAATTTTTATTTCAAATAATATTGCTTGTTTACGAACGGTAGTCTTTGACAAAATAGCAAAATTTGTTGCTATGTCCTTATTGAAACTTGCTGATAAAAAATTATTAATTAATAAAAGTCCACCAATATTATTTTTTATTTTTGTTTCAAACTCTTTGTCTGACATACCTTTACCTCTATATAATGTTATAACATGATCATTATTATTATCAAGAGTAGATGAATGTAATGTTTGAATTTCTTGATGAAGATCTTTTAAAATAAATCTCATTTTATACAATATTGGAATATCTTGTGTTCTCAATGCTTTGTTAAGTATATGATATAGAAAACATTCACGTGAATACCACCAAATGACATTTTTCGAACTATAATTACGGTCAAATTCATCTATATTATTTAATTCAGATTGATTACCACAATAGTATATACGACAAAATTCAATAAAATCTTGTTTAACATTAACATTGTATTCACAATTAATAAATATTTCTTTTAATATTTGTGAATAGATAAATGATATCTCTTGTTTATCTTTATTTTTATTATTTATCCAATTGTCAAATGTTGATGAAACTGTTGTGAGTGATATTAGATCATGGAATGAATGTGATAAATCTTGTTTTAATTGTTCATATATTTGTTGAATTTGTGTATAAGTTCCACGTATTTTATTGTATTGTTTAGTCCATAGCATTTGATAATGTTTGATTTGATTTGAACAAAGAATATAAATAGATTCAAGCTGTGGAAATGAATGTAAACGAGAAATAATACGTTCACTTAAAACTCTTGAAACAATTAAATATATTTTTTCATTATCGATGTTACTCATGTAGTTGATGCAATCATCAAGTTTATCAAAGAATTTTGAATAATTAATAAGTGAACGTAGTTGTTGTTCACTATTATTTTTATGTTTTATCATATTTGAATCAAGCCAAATAAGAACAAAATTTTCAAGATTTCTTTTATTTTTCGATTGCATATTGTGAAATTGTCTTGGCTGTATTGACCTTGTTGGAGGTGGAGCTTTATTTTGTGTGAATTTATTCGAACGAAAATTGGCTTCTTGTGGTTCAATAAACGGAAATTGTGATCGTCGAGGAAGAAAACGAGTTCGAAGTGGTGCAAACATTCTAGGTATAGTTGTTGATGGTGCTTGATTGCTAATAACTGATGATAAAGACAATGTCGACGCAGTAGAATAATTTACTTGTGTGGATGAGAAAGGTGATATTTGTAGTCTAGTAAGATTTTCTTCAGATGTGCTTATCAATTGTGTGGGGTTTGATCTCATCGATGAATGCTTTTCTTTTGGCCGTGAAAGTTTGAAATGTGGTCGACGTGACATGTTGCTCTATCTTCAAAAGAAATGAAGATTTTGACAAAAAGATATTGTGACTTTGTAGACGACATACGACTTTACGCATATAAATTATTTAGACGATCTTCACAAATCTGTTTCTACAGCTCTTATGAAAATTAGGCTGTTTAGTTCCAATATCATAGAAGATATATTATGTTTAGCAAGAACAACTTATTTCTGAATTGTATCTTTCCAAAAAACCAACAAAAAAGCACCTCAATCTTTTCCAAAAAGCTTCAGAGCAGAAGTAACTATTCGAAAATATTTTATTCTAACCCTTTGGAACCGGGTGGGATATATATATCCCAGTGCCTTTTTTAGGAAAACTATACGATGCAAGTGTCATCTTTTGACAAATATTTAAAGCTTGTAAGGCCTTCACTTAAAACGCAAAAAGAGAAATTTCTGCTTTCAGTTTAAATAGGTCAAATTTGTGTGCAAAAATCGATTTTTTTTTGACTTTTTTTAATAAAATATTTTTAAAAAATATTATGTAACATATTTCAGCTACTCTTTTCAGTGTTTTTGTGACACAAATAGTAAACAAAAATAAAGAAAAAAAAGTTTGATTTTACAAGCCAGTGAAAACTTTTAGGAGTGGTTCAAATATTTTTTGTGAATTTTTCAGATAAAAATGGATCAAGATTTAGAAATCAATGAAATATTTGCTAATATTGACTATGATCAGGAAGAAGATAGTGATACAAGCTCGTCGTCAGATGAAGATGTAAATTTTAATTGGAGAAGTGATCATCATTTCAACCCCTTTCAAGAGAAAAAACATTCTCTCACTTCTCACAGCTACCCGGCCTGAAAGGGTTAATTATTGTGTATTTTTTACCGAACATTTTTCTTTCAATAAGATGTTCCACAACTGTTGTAATCAAAAGCGATAAACAAGAAGTATGGAAATTCTGCACAATTTTCTTTCGTTGTTTTCGCTATGCAGCGAAAAGTACTGCGTTTATTCGAGTAGTTTCAAAATGTCTCTGTTGCACACAATCTTAGAGAGTTCAATGTCGTTTTATTTTAAAGGGAATTGCTATGAATAAGCACAACAGGGCCTGGTTTTAATAAAACTGAAGGTCCATCTATAAACCAGGCATAGTTTTTGACAAAAAACTTCCTATGAATTAATGACAAAACATCTTAAAAACTAGGCTCCGTTATACGGTAGTCCTAGGTCACTTCTACGATCTGCAAAAGAGCCAAGCTCTCTAGCAGCACTTGTGAATAAAAAAGGTTGAAATTATCAAGTGTTCCGTTTTGACCACTTGAAATTTTTACTATGATCTTTCCTGAATATGTTCAGTATTCTCCACAAGTTTCATTGAAGTCGTCTTCAATTAGCAAAAATGGATTGATGACGAGCAGGGTCCTTAATTTAAACCTTGACTCATGATGGCAATTCATAAATTTGCATTATTAGTTTGCTTATCAAGTTTCAAAAGTTTTTCTTAACTACATTGTTGATGCACTTTCTAGAAGTAATCCTAGAAGAAATCCTTAGCTTATAAAATCAACTAACATTTCTTGCTAATAGAAACGGATGATCGTGTCTACCTAGGGCTGTAGCCGTTCACGTTGATTTGGTAAACATTTCAACGGGAACGGTGACCGTTTTGCCGTTGACGTTCTGAACTGTCAAAGACATCTCATCAGATGAGGTTCTAAACTGTCAACATAAAACATTATATCGTAGATGTCGTTATATTAGAGTTCAGTGTAAGTAGAAAGACACACCATTTATCATCTTAAATAGCTTCTCAGGAGTAAACAGAATTGTAGAAAAGATGTAAAACAGGTAAATTTCTTAAACATTTTTGATAGACAAGAGATCTTCACTCAATCGCTCTTTCTCTGAAAAAATGAAGATATCATTAATTTAAGAATCTTAATTCAGTGGATTTCGGCTGTTAAATATACCGCTGATAGTTCAGAAAGTCAACTGTTGAGATGTGGTTTAGATTTCAGAACTTCAACAGATGAGGTGCGGTTGATCACTCAGAACGTCAGCTGATGAGATGCAGTTACGAGTTAACTAATGAATTACCGTTGACAGTTGAGAACGAAAATCGCTACGGCTACACCCCCCTAGCCTTACCGTCCTGCTAAATTGTTTCGTAGAATCTACTCCGATGTTTGTCGCCTTTTGTAAAACGGAAATCGATGTCTACACCATATGGAAACGTTCAGTTTCTGCTAAAGGACTAAATCGGTAAGATACGATCATTGGTCTCTATTAACTGCCAATGCAAATTTGTTTTATAAGATATGCATTTTTTTAGAGAATAGTATAATCAGAATTGCATAATCAGTGATGAAAAAGTGTGCTAGCTCATCTTTTTCGCATAAAGGTCATTAGTTGAATGACTTCTTACCGTATTTCTAAAATATTTCACAGATTCATTCTCATACGAAAAATAAATAAAAAACAGCAGCCAAAAAGATATATCTAAGTAAAACATTTGTTTTATTAATTTTCAATAGAAAATAGAAATAAACTGCCAAGGCATACTTAGTACATAAAAACGACGATAGAAAAATAAAAAGCTTTTTTCACTATTATAATTCTTATTTATAGTAGAAAGAAAAACGAATTTATTTATTAAACGAATTTATTTATAGTAGAGAGAAAAAATAATTTTCACTTAAGAGAAAAGAAAGAGGGAAACGACAGGTCATCCAATGTCTTTTTTTGCTGTATAAAACAGTATTAACACATTGTTTACTTTCATTTCAGTATCGATAACAAAATAAAATATTTTAGAAATACTGTGGTGTTTAAATCTCGGTCTAAGAAATAGATTAAAGCTCATATTCGCCGTATAAATAGCAGAGATCGAATACTATCTATACTCAAGAACATTTGCAAAAATAAATTCGTACTTGTGCGAACATATGTGCTGTCTTCTTAGATGTATTTGAAGCATCCTTTAGATCAAAGAAAAATTAACTTCCAATTATTAGTCCAATGTCCGCTGGCATGCACACTGTGGAATCCGAAAAGTCACGTTTTTAAAGTTAATTTTAGATAGACTTGTTGTACATCAGATGAAAGTATATCCGTTCAGAGTCGGCTTAGGCAGGTGTCGAGTTTGTGCCCCATATATGGCGGCATATACGGCACAATGGGCATTCAGGCGGAAATTTGAGCAAAAATCGACAAGTGAGCTTTTTTGAATTCGAACAGTAGTAAATGTAGTCCTTGAAAAGCGCTATCGAATGGTATATAATGATCGACTAGTAATGAACTCCT